CTCTGTAAAGGCCCTATTTCCAAATAAGGTCACATTCTAAGGTACTGGGTGTTAGGAATCAAACACATCTTTTTTTGGGGGACACCATTCAACCCACAACAGGGTTATAGGAATAAGTGAAATAATTAGGAAGAACATGTGGAAGGAGAAGAGGACTTAGAAAGGAGAAGAGAATTTCTAAAAGTTATGTTTAATGCTTGAGGGGAAATGGGAATAAAATGAAGCCATTGGCTCTGGTAGTTGAGAGAGTGAAGGCAGATGACTGATACCAGCCTTGGCCCCAGCAGGACTGTGTCTGGTGCCCTTTGCTCATTCCAGTGCCCAGGCCTACTTGTGCTTGAAAAATATTTTGTTCATAACTAAATGACAGCAAAAGGAGCTCCTTACACTAACAAATAATCTTCATTCTAGAAGTGTTAATAGAATTGAATCAATTTGATTTTTTTTCATGTTGAAAATATTCTGATGTTCAGATTGAAGAACATAATGGACAAACATCCTAAAAAGACCCTAAGTGCTCTTCATTTTAGTAGACACTTAAGAGAAAATGTTTACAGTCACCAAGAGAACATGCATCATTACTGGGAAGAGAATTCTGATAATTTGGTTCCCAGAATCTACAACTTGTATTTGTATCAAAAACAACTTTGGGGTCAATGCAATATCTTTATTAGTTTAGTAATCTGCAGAGATCAAGGTCTATTTGAGGATTCTTGGAATAAACTGCTGAAGAAAAATTTCCCCTAACAGAATGAGTTTTATCTTGAAATAATAATTCAAAATATGTAATGCATCTGTAAACATTCTATGAATAAGTCCATCCTAAACTAATTGAAATTTAAGTATTAATGAATCATTATGCTTTGTAGCATATAGCATCAGAACTCTGAAAAAACAAACAAAACAGCAAACCCAAAGCAAAACAAAGAACCTCCAACTGGTTGTGACCCCAATGAACTATATGTCAATTAGAAAAGAATTAGTGAGCTTTTTCTCCTCAGTCCTGTTTTTTGTCTGAAAGCTTGCCTACAGCAACAGCCATGTGACAGGCAGAACTGTTTCTTCACCAAGGATTTCTGTAATTCCTGCACTGTCAGTCTTATGCGTTACAACACAGCCTGCGTCAGGCTTTAATTACCCATAAATGCACCACCTGTTGCCTTTTTAGTGCTTAATTATGAAACATGTCATGGTTTACTGTGCAATGTGATTGAAATGCTGTGTTGAGTTGAAGAATCACAGAATCCACAGAAGAATAAAACCCAGGTTTCAGATAAAGCAACGTGGCTAAGGTAAACCTGGTAAATGCTATTCCCAGAGGGGTGAGGGATTCAGCCTGACAACTATGGATTGGGCCAGGAGGAATGGGTGTGAGCAGAAAGGGGGCATGGGGCCAGCCTAGAAAGTCCCACGGGAAAGAGGAAATATGACTCTTCATGCAGAACTATGGTTCTCCTAAGAGGTTGCAGACCCTGGAATTTGACTGAAGGAAAGGCTTTGTGCCTTGGTGGCTGGAAGCTTTTATGTAATCCTGTGAATCCTCCTTCAGTGCAACTGCAGTCTGGGCTCTGTGGTACTGCAGTTGTGCAGCCCTGGGAAGAGAAAAAAAGGCAGGGGAAGAGGAAGCAACTGAAGACAGAAAGAAGGCTGGTGTGGGACCACCGAGGTCAACTCTGGCCGTTCATGGTGACTCCAGATAGGAGAGGACTCAAAACAGTACCAGGTGACAGTTGTCCACATCATCACAGGCAGTCATGACCTGCCACTAATTATGATTACATATTCATTTGAATCACTTCTCTCTCAAGGAAGAGTTATTTTGTGGTCTAAAGTGCTTCCATACCCTTGGGGCACTGGGTGAAAGAGGTGAAGGGATTAAGGAGCACAAATTGGCAGTTACCAAATTGTCATGGGGAAGTAAATAAAGCATAGGAAATATAGTCAATAATATTGAGATAACTATGCATGGTGCCAGTTGGGGTACTGGAAATATGAAGGGAAACACTATATAAAGTATATGATTGTTTAACCACTAAGCTGTACACCCCAAAACAATACACAATAAAATTAGGAAAAAAAATGTACAAATTGGCAGTTACACAATACTCATGGGGATGTAAATTACAGCTTAGTAAATATAGTAAAAAATATTGTAATAACTGGGCATGGTGTCAAATGGCTACTAGAGTTATTGGGGTGATTACTTCATAAGTTACATAAATGTCTAACCACTATACTGTGCACCTGAAACTAATATAAATTGAATGCTGACTGTAATTGAAAAATAAAAACCATTTTTAAAGAAGGAAAAAACAAAAAAAACCCAAAGGACGTTCATACCTTTCAGCTGAGCACCCTCACATTATGTGTGGAGCTGACTTTTGTAGTAGTTGAACTTAATGCCAGAGGGGCCCCAGTATCATCAATGAAAAATGTCACTGAATGTCCTTTTCTTTGAGCTAAGACCTGAGGAATTTGTGAAAATTGGTCCAGTTAGATGCTTTCTCTGAACAGTATGAGTTCAGTGCACAGATGAGTGAGGGAAATGCTTGGGGATCAGGGAGTGCTAGGCCTTTCTATATTAGCCCCCTGGTTGCTCAAGACTGGCACTGGGTACTGGGTGGGGAGACCACAGCAGATCTGGGAGGTATTCTGAATGTGATGTAGAAGGGAAAAGAAACTGCATTGGTTATCTATTGCTGCATAACAGTATTACCACAAACCTAGTGGCTTAAAACAACACGTTTGTTGTCTAGCCTTTTTTGTGTCTTGTGTCTCAGTGTCTCTCACAAAATTTCAATCAAAATGTTGGCCATAATCACCTCACACCTGTCAGAATGGCTGCCATCAATAAATCATCAAACAACAAGTGTTGGCGAGGGTGTGGAGAAAAGGGGACTCTAGGTGGGAATGCAGACTGGTGCAGCCACTATGGAAAACAATATGGTGTTACCTCAAAAAATTAAAAATTGAATTTCCATTTGACCCAGTGATCCCACTTCTAGGAATATACCCTAAGAAGCCTGAAACACCAATCAGAAAGAATATATGTACTCCCATGTTCATAGCAGCACTATTTACAATAGCTAAGATCTGGAAACAGCCCAAGTGTCCATCAGTAGACAAATGGATAAAAAAGGAGTGGTATATATACACAATGGTGTACTATGCAGCTGTAAGAAAGAAAGATCTCTTATCCTTTGAGACGACATGGAGGGACCTGGAAAGTATTATCCTAAGTGAAACAAGCCAAGCAGAAACAGACAAATACCACATGATCTCACTTATTTGTGGAATATAATGAACATAACAGTATGAGGAATAGGGTAGACCCAGAGATGTGGAAGTAGGGTACAGACTGACAAGCCTCAGAAGAGGGGGTGTGGGGGATGGGAAGAGATAAACCACAGAACTTATATGCATGTATGCATAATCAGTGGACATGGACAACAAAGCCGGAGACGGAGTGAGGGGGATGGGGAAGAGGGTGTCAATGGGGTAAAAAAGGAGAAACATCTGTAACAAAAATAAAATTAAGCCCTGGCTGGTTTGGCTCAGCGGTTAGAGGGTCAGCCTGCGGTCCAGACAGACCTGGGTTTGGTTCCCGCTAAGGGTGTGTACCTCGGTTGCAGTTTGACCCCAGCCCTGGTTGGTTGTGTGGGTGGCAGCCACTCGATGTGTACCTTTTATGTCGATGTTTCTCTCTCTCTCTCCCTCCCACTCTATCTGAACAAAAAATGGAAAAATGTCCTCAGACGAGGATAAACAACAACAAAATAAAATTTAAAAAAATAAACAAAATAAACAAAATGTTGGCCATAGCTAGAGTATCATCTGAAAGCTCAGCTGGGGAAGGATGCACTTGTAAGCTCATGTGATTGTCAGAAAAATTCAGTACTTTGTGGACTGTTGGACTGAGGACCAAATGTTCCTATCTAGATGCTACCTTCAGTTCCTTGCTTCAGTTGGCTTCTCCAGCATGGCAACTTTCTTCATCAAAGCATGCAAGCCAAGAAGGCTATAGATAGAATCTTTTAGCAAGATGAAAGCACAATTTTATGTAGCTTAATTATGGAAGTACATTCCATCACCATTGCCATATTTTATTGGTTAGAAACAAGTTACAGACTTACAGACTTCTGGTCAAGATGGCGATGTAGTAAACGCGGTATCTTCTCCCACAACCACATCAAAAGTACAACTAAACTACTACATAACCATCATTCAGAAGTACCTGAAATCGAGCTGAATGGAAGTCCTACAACTACGAAATTAAAGAAGCAGCCACACTAAGACTGGTAGGAGGGGTAGAGGCACAGATGGGCTGATCCTACACCCGTGTGTGGCAGATAAAAATCAGGAGGACACCTCAGCTGGGAAGGTCCTCCCTGAGGACTGAGGAGTCCCTGTCCCACACCAGGCGCCCAGCTCAAGTTTCCATTGCCAGGAAAAAAAGTCCTCATAGCTTCTGGCTGGAAAAACCAGTGGGAAATGAGGCAGAGGGAGGCTGCAGCTGCTGGAGCCCCAGGAAGCTCCTCTTAAAGGGCCTGAGCATGGACTTACTCAGACTTGCTTTCTCTAAGCTTGGAGGGGAGGCAGTGTGAGGGGCGCCAGAGACACACAGGGAAGAACTGAGCTGTTTGGCCTTGGGACGAGGGCTGAAGAGGTGGCTTTCTCCTGGACAGATGCTGGCAGAGGCTGATGTTCCTTTGGTGAGCCCTTCCCTGGGGTGGCAGACAACCGCCATATCTAAGACTCCAGCAATCTGGCTCACACTGGTTGCCCCGCCCCAGTGATTCCCTGAGGCCCTGCCCCACCCAACTTTCGGGCCCACCCAAGCTGTTTCCAAAGGCTTTACCATAGGATTGGCCTGTCTCGGATCCTGCTTCAGGGTTTCTTAAAACCTCTCAAACAAGCAGCATCTGGTCTCAGCGAGCCCCATACTTCATGTTAAGTGGCCCCAGGTCTGGCACTAGAAGCAGCCAGCCTTGTTTCACAGCTTGACTTTTTCTGGGCACCTCCAAGCCCAGCACAAGAAGCAGCCATGGGCAGATTACTTTTTAGCTTATGATGGGTGGCCCCAGATAGAACACAGGCAGTGGCTGACCTTGCCCCAGAGCCAACACACCCAGTGGACAGCTTCAGACTACATTGAAACACCACCACCAACCACCTCCACAAGTGACACACTCAATGATCGGACTCAGTGGGTACCAGAGTCCTAATAAAGTAAGTCTTGCTTTGTGTGGTGGGCTCTGCACAGCTGGTCCTTCAAGGGAGTTAGAGGCCAGTGGTCAGTGGGCACAGCCAGTCCTTGCAACAACTGATAAGCCTGTATAAATCCCTCTCATTGATGTGTGAACAGCAATCAAGACTCAATTACAACAGAAGGGTATATAGTCCACACTAGGGGTGCACCTCAAGGGCCCAGCTGGGGTGATCAGGGAGGCTGTGCCACTGGACCCTATAGGGCACCTACAACAATGGCCACCCTATGAAGCCTAGGAGACATAGCAACTCTGTCTAATACTTAGAAACAATCTCAGGGAAGCATCCAAAATGAGGAGACAAAGAAACTTATCCCAAATGAAAGAAAAGAACAAAACTCCAGGAAAAGAACTAAACAAAATGGAGATAAGCAATTAATCAGATGCAGAGTTCAAAACACTGATTATAAGATTGCTCAATTAACTTGGTGAGATCTTCAAGAAACTTAAAGAAACATCCAAGGAACTTAGTGAGAATGTCAACAACATAAAAAAGGACCAGTCAGAAATGAAGGATGTACTAATTGAAATAAAGAATAATTTACAGGGAATCAATAGTAGAATAAGTAAAGCCAAGAAGCAAATCGTGGATTAGGAATATAAAGAAGCAAAAAACACCCAATCAGAACAGCAGAAAGAAGAGAGAATTCAAAATTCCACTACATATGATGTCTGGGATTTTGCTGCCTACATTTTCTTCTAGAATTTTTATGGTTTCTCGAGTTACATTTAAGTCTTTTATAGTTTATTCTTGTGTATGGTATAAGTTGGTAGTCTAGATTTTTTTTTTTTGTATATAGCTGTCCAATTTCCCCCGCACCATTTATTGAAGTGGCTGTCTTTTTTCCATTGTATACTCTTGCCTCGTTTGTCAAATATTAATTGTGCATACTGTCGTCAGTTGATATCTCTGTTCTATGTTCTGTTCCATTGATCTATATGTCTGTTCTTGTGCCAGTACCAGGTTGTTTTGATGATAGCTTTGTAATATAACTTTATATCTGGTATTGTGAATACTCCCATTTTGTTCTTCTTTTTCAAATTTGCTGTGGCTATTCATGGTCTTTTATTGTTCCATATAATCTTTTGCAGTGTTTGTTCTAGATCTGTGAAATATGCCGTTGGTACTTCAATAGGAATTGCATTAAATTTGTAGATTGCTTTGCATAGTATATACATTTTAATGGTGTTGATTTTTCCAATCTATGAACTCCATGTGCATTTGAAAAGAATGTATTTTCTGCAACTTTGTGGTGAAATATTCTGTAAATGTCAGTTAAATCCAACTGATTTTGTGTGACATTTAAGGTTTCTTTTTCCTTGTTAATTTTTTGTCTAGATCTATCAGTGAGGGTTACAGTCCTTTACTATGAGCCTGGCTGGTGTGGTTCAGTGAAGTGAGCATCGTCCCATGAACTGAGAGGTCCCAGTTCAATTCATGGTCAATGCACGTGCCCAGATTGTAGGCTAGATTTCCTGTAGGGGGCGTGCAGGAGGCAGCTGTTTAATGTTTCTCTCTCACATCGATATATCTGTCTCTGTCTCCCTTTCTCTCTCTCTCTAAAAGATTGATAAAAGCATATTAAAAAAATGTCCCTTATTATGATTGTATTGCTGTGGCTCTCTCCCTTAAAGTTGTCTGGAAAAAATATAAAAATATATTTAGGTGCTCCTATATTTGGTGCATATATGTTAATAAGAGTTAATGTCCTCTTGTTGGACTAATCCTTTTAATATTATGTAGTGAGCTTCTTTGTCTCTTGTTATGGCCTTCATTTTGAAGTCTATTTGATCAGATATGAGTACTGCTACCCATTTCTTTTTTCCATTTGCATGGAATATTTTTTTTTTCTATCCCTTCTTTATTAGCCTCTGTGAATCTTTTGTTCTGAAGTGAGTCTCTTTTATACAGCACATATGGGTCATGTTTTCTTATCCATTCAGCTACCCTATGTCTTTTGATTGGAACATTTAATCCATTTACATTAAAGGTTTTTATTGATATATACTTATTTAATGTCATTTTTATCTTTATGCCTGTGTTTCTCTCTATATTTCTTCTTCTTCTTCTTGAAGCTCTCCCTTTAGCATTTCTTGCAATGATAGTTTGGTGATACTGAACTCTTTTAGCCTTCTTTTGTCTGAGAAGCTCTTTATTTTACTTGATAGCCTTGCTGGATGGATCAGTCTTGGTTTCATGTTCTTACTTCTCATTACTTTGTATTCTTCTTGCCACTCCCTTCTGGCCTGAGTGTGTTTATTAAGAACTTTGCTGACAGCCTTATGGGGGATCCCTTGTAGGTAACTAACTGTCTCTCTCTTGCTGCCTTTAAGATTTTCTCTTTATCTTTTTCTTTGGCCATTTTAATTATGATGTGCCTTGGCATGGGTCTTGCTTGCTTCCATTTCATTTAGTTATTTTTCTGGAGATTTTTTCTTTTTGATTGGGACTCTCTATGCCTAATGAACTTTGTAATTTTTTCTTTTGCCAGAAGAGGAAAGTTTTCTGTGATTATTTCTTCTAACAGGTTCTCTATCCCTTGCTTGCTTTCTTCTCCTTCTGCTACTCTTATGATATTGATGTTGTTATATTTCATATTGTCCCTGAGTTCCCTTAAACTATCCTCATTCTTGTTAATTCTTTTTTGTTTTTGTTGTTCTGTTTGGGTGTTTTATTTTAAACCTGTCTTCCAAATCACTGATTCTATCCTCTGCTTCAACTTGCCTACTTCAAATTCCTTTCAGTGTGTTCTTGATGTCAGATATGCTGTTGTTCATTTCTGATTGGCTCTTGTTCAGAGTTTCTATCTCTTTTGTGATACTGATGTAGTTTTTGTTCAGGTTCTTGTAATTCTTACTAAGTTGTTTGATCATCCTTATAAACATTATTTTGAACTCTTTGTCTAATAAATTGCTTGCTTCCATTTCATTTAGTTATTTTTCTGGAGATTTTTTCTTTTCTTTTTTTGGGAGGGTTGTTTTTCTTTGTTGTCCCATTTTAGTTGTCTTTTGGTGTCTGTTTCTATGTGTTAGATAGAACTACTATGACTCCTAATCTTTTTGGTTTGGCCTTATGCAGTAAGTGTCCTGTGGAACACAGTGGTGAAGTCTCCTTGATCTTCTGCACTGAATGCTCTATCTAGGACTCTTTCTTGTGTGGATTATGTAGACCCTCCCATTGTAATTGGGAAGCTAATTTTTTTTGGCCTGTTCATGGATGAGATTGAGTTTCACCCCTTGAAAATCAGTTTAGCAGGATGGGGCAAGCAGGGTCTGGGAATGCAGATACAATCAGCTCTTTGATTGGCCTGACATGGGTCACTGGCCCTCAATAAGGGAGCTAGCTGCTTGCCTTCTAGCTCAGCATGCCCTGTGAGAGACCCTGACGGGAGACTTTGCGGGGCTTGCACCAGATACCCTAGTTCTGAGTTGTATCCCCTTTCACCTATGAAGCTGCACTAGCAAGGATGTGCTAGTGGTGCTTGTAGGAAGAGAACAAAGCTCCTCCCTTTGCTTGGGATGTGTTGGTCCTTGGTGAGGAAGAAAGAGCTGTTGACCTTCTATCTCTGTGCATTGGCAGAGGCCCTGGTGGAGAGCTCCAAGGAAGTCATGTCCAATGTCCAAGCTCTGATTTGCATTTGCCGTCTCCCAGCTGACATGAGTTCAGCAGGGTGGGGCCAGCAAGGTCTGGGAATGCAGATCTAACCTGCGCTTTGACTGGGGTAACACTGGCCTTGACTGTTGAGAGGGGAGTTAGCTGCTTACTTTCTAGCTCAGCATTGCCTCACCAGAGATCCTGAGAGGAGACTCTGAAGAGCTTTACCAGATACTCCAGTTCTTAGTTGTGTCTCCTTTCTCCTGTGAGGCTGCATCAGCAGGGATGTGCCAGCGGGGCTTGGAGGAAGAGAACAAGATTACCATTTCCTTCCCCCAGTGGGTATGAATTTAGCAGGGTGGGCCCAGCAAGATCTGGGAAAGCAAACCCAATCTGACCTTCGAATGGTGTGGGTCCTCATCCCTTGAGAGTGGTGTAACTGCTCTCTTTCCATCTTTACACCAGAGCTCCTGAAGGGAGCTCCAAGGGGATCACACCAGGTTTCACAGATCTGAGTTGTGCCTCCTTTCCCCTGGGAGGTTGTATCTGTGGAAGGTGCAGGTAGGGTTTGGAGAAATAGATTAAGACTGCCGCTCTGCTCGAAGTGGCACTGACTCCTGGGGGGTGTGGGGGTTTGTCACTCCCTTTTATCTCTGCAACTCACTGCCAGAGGCCCTGATGGAGGTCTCTGAGGTGGTGGCTCTAAATGTCTTTGTTCTGAATTGCACTTCCTTTCCCCTGTGGGACTGTGCTTTGGAGGTGGTACCAGCAGATTTGGGAAATGGTAATCCAGGCAGCCCTTTGTTGGGGGTGGCTCAGGCCCTTAGCTCTTGGGGAAGGAGCTAGGTATTTGCCTCCTACCTCAGCAGTGCCCTGCCAGAGCTCCTGAGGGGCCACTCCAAGAGGGTCATTCCTGATTTCCAAGTTCTGAATTGTGACCCCTTTACCCTGCAAGGCTACATGTGCCACAAGGTGCAGGTTGGGGTTGGAGGAATAGATTAAGGCTGTCTGGGGTGGTGCCAGCTCTTAGGAGGAGAGAGAGCTTGTTGCTTCCTTCTATCTCTACAACTCACTGCTAGAGGCCCTGATGGAGGCCTCTGAAAGGGGTAATCCAAATATCTCTGTTCTGATTGCACTTCCTTCCCCCTGTGGGACT